GTTTCTGTATTACTAGCTAGGACTGGAAGTATCTCTAATCAAGCTTGTTACTTGATAGTTCATAAGTGACTGTCGCAAGATATTTCTTTCACTAAGCTCGGTATCCATATTCCAATGCAGCCTCAAACCTAAACTAAATCCCCGACCGGCTATGCTGGACCGCCAGTCCAGGTTCATATCAGTCCTAATCTACTAGGTTAGGGCCTTAAGCCAGACCGGTATTACAGCACCAGCAGGTCATGCGATATCGAGTCGTATGACTAACTCCATAGACCAACGGCTCGATCCATCCACAGTGTCCACCGACTGAGCCATAAGCTGGGGTACCTTATAATTGGACCTCCAAACATCCGGAAAATATATTCATTAATAAAACGGTGCAACCGTTTGAGTGTAGTGCACATGCACTTAGCGTCAGTAGCCTCCGCGCATGTACTAACAGAAAATCTACATCTACATCACTCCACAACATACTCATTAACATAATGGCACAATTGTTTGAGTGTAGTGCACATGCCCTTAGCGTTAGTAACCTCCGCGCATGTGCTAACAGAAAATCTGTATCCGCATCACTCCATTGACCACTGCGCTCATACTTGTACTTTTTAGCGAGTCTCATCCAACGTATTCATACTGTACTGGAAATGGATGGCTGCAGGGAGCACTCGAAAATCATGCAATAAATATTAGCGAGCCCGAGACGGTGATACTCTGCACTGGGAAGTATAAAAAAAACAAATACCAACCAAACAATGAGGCCGTGGCACTACCTCGTGGAAGCTTCTAAACCAAATCAATTGGTGGAGTGTACACCTTCAAATTGTTCGCATGCACCCGATATTCCTTGTTCAAAACAACGTCCTTGATGTAATGAATAACAGGTGAGGGCCTAACCAGTCCTTTTGTAACTAAATAGCCGGGGAAGCCATATGGAGGTAAAACACCATCTGACCAACCCCGATCATCGGACAATCCGCTCTATTGAGATCCGCTGACCGCTTCTGGGCCGTCCTATGAATATTGATACTAGTTCCATTTTCCAATTCCATAGCACCGTCACCAATACGGACCATAGGTACCAAAAAATCAATATCCTTATCTAATAAAACCTTAATTTCCCGATCCACCGGATAAATATACACTCGATCAGTATCCAACGTAAACAGTGCCATACCAATCACCGATGGATATGTCGCGCTACAATATGCTGATAATGCATACCATCCCAAGGGGGATTCACATAAGTAATTAAGCTACAATATCAGCGCAAAAGCATCATACCCCAAACTGCTCCCACCATTTTCAATACTACAATACATACCCAAAAAATGGCTGGCCGCCGAGACAAGCAATTCCACATCAAATACCAGGTGGAGAGTTACCTGAATATGCCGGACCCATCAAGGTTTCAACTACCAAATAGTCAAACTTTTAAAGAGGGCAAACGTGAGGGCCTCTATGAACTGCATCTTCGGTTACTTCAAAGGGTCACTCTACTGGACCCACCTCTCCAAAGGTTCCATAAACGGATCAAGCTTGTGGTCAGCGACACTACACCGTCACCACCAAAACCTGTTACATACAATGACTCAATGTACTGAATAGGAAAGTTATGCAACCTCACAAATTGTTGATTCATCATAGCTGGCGTGCCCCAATATACTTACAGACATGTCTCCATAAAATTCATGCGTCACCGGTCCCAACCACTGATCCAACAGTCCAACTTCCTGAACCACTGTGTGACCCAGTAATCCACCCTTCTGGTGCGAGAGCCCAGTCTCCGCCGGTCAAGCATGCTGGACCTTCTATGGGCACTCCGTCCGCCAATGGCTCATTTGATTGCACAGTGCACATTTGGGGCAAAGCATATTTCCTGGCGATGGAATAAGAGGCCGGTACGACCAATTGGAAGTATAAGACCTTTCTCGCGACCGATCATAAGCGCGGGTGTCACCTTCCTGAGGTAAAGAATACCGATCACTACAATTGATAGTGGAACAACCTGCTGGACTATTATGACCAGTGCCTGTTCAGCTGAGGAGTGATTACTGCTCCTTATATAAGATTCCCTCTTAGATGCATTAGAGTTGCATAACATATGGGTGGAATTCACGCTCAGTTTCTCTGCAAAGATCGCTGCAGACGTATTTGCTACAGATGAAAAACCATTTTTATCCAAATCACTCTGTACAAGTGTAAGCATTAACCCCACAAATGAATTCGTAAAAAAAAACACACAAACAGGCATGCAACTCACACGACCGTGCTTTGAATAAAGGAGCATCACGATTGTATACATACAACAACTGCCCACGTATCGTTGGATCTGTCAAAATACTCAGCAACATCATATGCTCGACCGCATACATCCACACACAACTGAATCCACGTTCATGTAGCCACATCTCATGTTCTTGCATCGACGCGTGGCCGGAAAACACCAGCAAAGACCTCTCTCGTTGTTCCGTCATCTCCTGTTTTACTCCACCTGATCAGGTGTCAAAGCTGATGAGACAGGTGAGCGTGATCTAAAAAGGAGAACGACCTCGTCGCCCATAATCAGTCGTTTGAAACGGCATCAGTTGTTGGTCCTTGTCGAACCAAATAGGGGTCCTGACCTTCATTGCCCTGGCAAATTAACTGGGAGTCAGACATCCCCTGACCACCGGGCTGGTGCTGTTAATTTCAATCCATGAGCTCTAGGTCGAAAACACTGATGTCGGGTAACACTGCGGCCTTTGCCTCAAAGGCACATCCATAATAGTCGTACGTAACCTACTCACGCGGGTCATTTGCCCACAAACCAATGTCCAGTTCACTATGTAACGTATCCATCATCCTCTTAACGCTTTTTTACTTATTCGACTTCACTGAGTCGTCCTTAATGTACGCCTCCAACGTAATCAATTTATGGTCCATAACGGGACATCAGAAAGCGCTCAACTACAACTACAATCACTGCTTCCGACAACGATTGCTGAATTTCTAACTTTATAACATCACTAACATATTTCATCATCAAATCAATCTGTGCGGCAAAACCTGACACAGCATATGTTTCTTCCCCTTGTCTAACCGTAAACTTATGATAAACCGAAGAGTTTGCACAATCATGCCAATTCTTAAATCAAGGTAAAATTGGTTCGTACTTGTTACCTTTAAAAATCTTTGACAGCGCCTACATCTCGCTGGACGACAGTATCTCGATATCCTATTCTTGAAACCGAAAACAATACACTTATATCTACTCTATAAGTAGTCTCTCCCTTAATTGTAGCACTAGCTAGGACCAGGAGTTACTCCAACAAAAGTTTATTACTTGGTAGTTAAGCGAGTGTCTCATGGTCCTTAGCTTCATAGATTATATGTGAAAGAGAAAGACAGCCTCCTACACTAACCTCCATATTTAAACTAAATCTCTGGCCGTCCATGCCGGTCCGCCGGACCAAGTTCATATCAGCCCGGTCCTATCCCACTAGGAAAAGACCTTGAGCCAGGTCGGTACTACAGTTTTCAAAGTTGGAATTTTGCCGACGAAACACAGTGATAGTTTTGCCAAGACGAATAACAAAAGCACAAATAAAATCCCTTCAACAAAATCAGTACTGGGAGTATTCTATATTGGCAATATCACGGCCTTGCAATCCCCAAGACTGTTACTGATTTCACGAGGCATATTATTTGACTACTCTCGTATTAAATTTTAATAAAAATTCTAAGATAACCAACGTTTATAGTTTACAGCTTTAAGACGTTAATATCGCCTTATTACACCGGTATTCACATGATCAACTGATCTGTATCCTTAAAAAGTACGTGCTAAGTGTTCTGGTTTGCCACTGTTAATTGCAGGCGTAGTATCGTTTGCGCGAGCCCAACAAGTGATACTTGTGGCTGATGGTGGCGGTCGGACACCGCTTGCCGGAGTTCATCCCTGGGCTTGAGCGTTGTTTCTGAAGCCGTGCGGTTGCTGATCTTGCGTACTCATGCCGGTTGTGAATATATTGGTATAGTTTGTATGAGTACATTTATTTAAAAGACAGTATGTATGTCTACAATAAATAGATAAACTTTTAAGAAATAGTAGTATACCGGCAAACTGTATCACTAAACCGAGGATTTTAATGGAGTAGGATTTCGGTGTTTATTTGGAAATCGTATCCGTGAAATTAATGTTTGAAGCAGGTGATCGATGTAAGGCCGTTGATTGATGACGATCTTGTCCGGAAGGCGTATGCGAAGATTCATCAGATGTTTAGTACAGAAATGTCACCCAGTGTGAGACTTGTATGGATTTGGACCCAGAGATTGTTAAGGAGGACATAATATAGAAATTCCAAAGTCTCGGGATCGATTCAAGTCATATATTTGGGGCTTCCGTCAGTATACGTAGACGATGATCCAGACCCGTGCCTTCCCCTCTCACTACGAGTGTCGTGGTTATGTATTGATATTAGCCTATGATGGTAGTAGTACAAGTTCGTTCGGGAATAGATAGAGTTAGACCCCGGAAGACTATAAAAGCAGTTCATGTCCAGCGTTAGAGTTCAGGCTTTCACTAAGACTATAAGGAACAGAAGGGCGAAGAGGACTAAACTCTATAGACTGCTTGTATCGTAAACCTTGGAATAAGGTTTAATACTCAGAATTGGAAATTTGGGGTTGGCGCCAAAAATTGTGATAATCATATATGTGCTTATTTCTGGATTTGAAGAATAAGGACCGAACTTTGGGAAATTCGAGGGACTCTAAAAAAACAACAACAGTAAGTTGGATTTTGTTTCTAAAAATAATACAAAAACAAAAACATAGGCATGTTATTTTGAAAATAAATATTTACAGTTGCAAAAAAAACAATCATGGATATTTAGATTTTAGGCAATGAGTATGTTTTATTTACAGATTGCTGAATTTTAATAGGGACTTCGAGTCTTCGACAAATGTGATCATTGTAAATCTGTGATGGGTGACTTTTTGTAACAGTTGCAATTTTTCATTTTGTTCCATTTAAAAAATAAAATTGAAATTAGTATCTATACTCATATGTACCGCCAAACTATGTAATCAATATGTAGTCATCTACTTGTAAACTATAGTATCGACAAAGATTAAAAACAACTATTTACTAATTCGTAGTTCGTTAGACGTTAAATATCTGATTATCTGTTCGTCGTTACAATACTAGAGCAAGCGGGAGCTTCAACTGCTAGTATATAGCGGATCTGGCCGGCTGGCCCCTTTCTTTTTTAAAAACAAAATTCTGTCTTCAGTACTCACTGGAGTCTCTCTCTCTGGTGAGTGGTCCAGTCAGGCAGTCACCAGTCACCACTCGCCAGTCGCCACCTGGAGTCTGGACTCTTGAGGGGTTTGGGGGTTTGTCAGTTATTCAGTTTGCCTTTGGAGTTGAGTTTGGAGTTTTTCATGTTGTAGACTTTGGAGTTTGGACTCTCAGAGACTCCAGACTTCATACTGTTCACAGTTGTATTTACTATTTTATAGGGGGAAAAGTACCTGTTAAATATAAAATTTTGTATTTATTTCAATGACGTCTATACTCTTTTTGTAAGCATTTAAAAAAAAAAAAGGATGGCCTGTCCTTGAAAAGTGTTAAAAAAATTTAAAAATCGAACACAGTCTCACACTCCCACTACCCCGCTCGCAGTGGACTTACCAGTGTGGAGTGACTGTGGACTGTGGAGGCTGTGGAGTGTGGACTGTGGAGGCTGACTCCCTTCTCCCTTGCCCTGAACCCTGAGCCCTGAGCCCTGAGCCCTGGGGCCCTGTATACAGTGAATAGTGATTCAGTGTTTTTTCTTCTTTTTTACTACATTTTTATTCAGTATTGCAGCATCCGCGGAATCCGCGGTCGTCGATTCTGGATTCTCAGATTCTCGCTCTTACTCCTTCCAGAGTCCCACTGGCCAGTGGCCACGAACCTTCCCCCCAGAATTAAATTCAAAACGTTCCGAGGCAGGGAAAAAAGAATGGTTCGTCAGTCATTTGTAACACCATCACACATGGTGTAATTGTATATTCACTAATCACTACATAATCATATTCAGAAGAAACTCACAAGATTGACGATTATGTGGTATTTTTCATATTCACCTTTTCCTTATCCCCCGTATGTCGCCGAATGAAAATGTGTGGATAAAAAGTTTACTGCAACAAATTTGCTACAGGGCGGACCCCGGCAGCAGGGGTTGTGGACTCTTGTTGTGTATGGGGTTGCCGACTCGGGTACGTCAGCTGTGGGATTTGGTCAGTACTACAGGTATGTACTCTAGGTAGTGGCCAGAAACCCAGCTGGCCAGCAGTATATAAATGTAACGATCGGAAGCATTACAAGCAGAAAAAATTCAAGTAGCACAACTGTATATATTATTCAACTATGGCAACCGTAGTTACGATTCCGCCACCTCAAGGGGATCAAGAATTTGTTCGTAAAAGTATCAAGTATGTCCTGCCTAATGACGCGGTAGATTCATTTATTCAACTGATTGAGCCCACTCTACCAGTCTCGCCATTCACATTACCATCAGGCGAAGTAGTCACATCGCAAGTAAATAATAGTTCGTATTTCGACGACGAGTATTTAAACCAATATAAGGAGCGTGTTGTCAAAAATGAAAATGCTGAATTGTACCGTGTCAGATGGTACGGTGATTCCTTTGAGCCGGTAGAAAATCTATTCATCGAGCGAAAGAGGCATCACAACTACAAACGAACGGGCAAGTATAGCAACAAGAAAAGACTTGACCTGCCCAAAGAGGAAATGTCACGTTTTTTGCTGGGCACACCCGTGGAATTGCTCAACCCATCAAAAGCCAAACTTGCTGAGGAGATACAAACCGTCATGATGCATAACAAGCCTAAGATCCGCACACAGTATCTGCGTACCTCTTTCATGAGTCAAGATATCAAAGATCTCAGAGTAACGCTAGACAGGGACATCAAAATGTTTGCCGAGCCGCAAAGCTGGACTGAAATAGCAAGACTTAATGGTAGAGCACGGGGAGAATGTGACATGATGCCTTTCGCGATTGTTGAGGTGAAGGTAGCTCTGGTTCAAGGTGGCAGACCACAGTGTCCGGAATGGCTTGAAGTTGCATTATTGTCATCTGGTGCTCGAAATATCAAACTCAGCAAATATGGATATGGTTGTATGAAGTTCTTCCGGAACATGCACATCCTACACCTAAATGGGCCCCTGAGATCGAAGCTTGGAACCAGTTGTTGACCGGAAACTCACCGAACACTGATTCCGCGGCAGTGTTTTTGTCAGTTCCCACATTACAAGCACCGCCCAGTTATCAGTCAAATGATTACGACCGAAGTTTCGTTGATGAAAAGTTCAATTCACCGTCTTCAATTGATAAGAGCAAGCGCACGTTCTCTCCTTTCAAGTCGAAGCTGTACAATACGGGAACCATTTTCCACAAGGCTCGTCGCCAAGGCCTGAATCGCAAAAAGTACGGCAAGACCGATGGGAAAGCATTCATGGCCAATGAGCGAACCTTTCTCAACTATATCCAGTGGACTTGTAGTTTAGCAACATTCTGTGTAGGTTTGCTGCAGGTTGTCACAGGACAGCAAGTTCTATTCGTCACGACAGCGATTATCCTCTTCTGCGATGTGCTTATGGCGTACGCTACAATCATTTATCAATTGAGAAGGATATATTTTGTTAACAACATAGAATCTCGAGGTGGCAGAGTTCCGCGCGCATTCAATGAGTGGAAGGTGATATCTCTCATAATGTCTGTTTTCTTCATCGCTGTGAATGCATATATGGTTATTCTGTGGATTTCATCACCTACAACGATATTATAATGTACACTACAAAACAACTTCGACTCTGAACAAAATAAATTTATTTGTTATATCATACCATCTATCAATCGACCTGTACAAGCTGGGCCTTTTGAAGGAGAGACAGTGGATAGATCGTTACCTCCATGAAAGAGACGAATTGCCGTGTACGATCATGGCTTTATTATTACTGCCATTCACTTCCAGGTTTCCTCACAACCAGCAAACCACTCTACATTTCGGCGAAGATGAACCGAGTCCAATGTTCGCGCGAATCAAGTTAATGTTTAAATAGTCTAAAATAGCTCAGAAATAGATCAGTACTCCTAATGATCATCATATCCGTTATCACTGGTAGCTAGTACAGCTGACAAAGTGTACACACTAGATCCACCGATCTGGAGTCAATTCACCGCGGGCAATCTTGCTTAAATCCATATATGTTCTGCCCACCTGCGTCATCGGACATTATGTTTAAGGCACCGTCTCTTGTCACTACCCCTCCTGTATCCATCACCACGACCCTATCACACACTGCGAGTGTATTTAAATGGTGTGCAACAACCAATGTTGTTATCTTTTTGCTCCTATTAAGACTTTTCAGCGAATTCAATACGACACCCTCGCTCATCTCATCCAAGGCACTTGTACTCTCATCCAATACCAGAAAGCGTGGTTTCGTAAGCAGCGCACGTGCTATAGCTATCCTCTGCCTCTGACCCCCCGAGAGCGATGCCCCCCTCTCACCCACGTGAGTGTCGTAACCCTTCGGTAAATGAGTAATGAATTCATGTGCATTTGATAGTTTAGCAGCCTCGACTACCTCCTCCTGTGTAGCGTCGGGCTTGGTATACACTATATTACTCCTTATTGTACCGGAAAAGACTACAGGTTCCTGCTGGACATATCCCATTTGTGACCTCAGCCATGCGACATCGAGATCACGCAGATCGACACCATCGATAGTGATAGACCCACGGTTTGGTTCATACAAACCCTGTAGCAATGCGATAACACTCGATTTACCACACCCAGAGCGTCCCGTGAGGGCCACCATCTCACCAGCGGTGACACTCAGATCTAATTTCTCAATGATTTGCGCATCTGGGGCAGTTGGATATGCGAAGCCCACGCCATTGAATCGAATATTACCATTGTATCCCTCTGCTAACTTCTTCGTTCCGTATCCCAATTTCGGCTTGGCTTCTAGTAGTTGGAATAAACGACTAGCCGAGCCTTGTGCTCTCAAAATTCCACTCGCGCTCTCCGTAACCTCAGAAACAGACCCACTCAGCATACCAGCGTACAAACAGAAAGCAGTCAGTTGCCCTACGGACAACGTGTTGTTGATAACCATATTCCCTCCCAGCCCGACGACAGTCAACAACACACCATTCCCGATAAAGAACGAACAGCCCAAAAACAACCCTTGGTAGTACGCAAGTCTTTCCGCATACAAATACGACATGTCAATAACTTTGCCGTACTCGCGTGCCTCCACCTGTTGCTGATCGCAGAGTACCACCGTGCGTATTGCGCCAAAACGCTCGGCCGCCATCTGAGTAGAGGTAGCGAGCGCATCCAGATGCTTGCGTGACAATCGCTTGATGTACTTTCCGAAAAAAAGCGCCCCACCAATGATCATGGGCACTACCCCGGCTGAGTAAAAGGTAAGCAAAGGTGAAATGTACACCATCGCGCCCACAGCCGATGCTGATTTCATGGCACTCTCTGTGAACGATCCGACATTTTCCACAAGATGCTCAGCAGTCTCGTGTACATCTATACCCAGACGGTTAACCAATTCACCAGATCTGTTCACATCGAAGAAGGCGGCGTCCTGAGCCATGATACCGCCGTACAATTTCTTCCGCAGGCTTGCACCGATTTTCTGGCCTACCATCTCGAGAAGAGTGGCGTGAAGGAATGTAGCACCAGCACCCTAAGAACAAATGCAACATACGATTAAAAGACAGCTGGTGGCGATTCCGAGTTACATCGTGTTCAAAACAAGAATTGGCGTTTAGAAATGGGTACAAAGACGATACAGCAAGAGAGCTACCGTTGGGAAAATATGCAATAGTTCACAATTTAAACTGCTACAAACAGTGAAGCAACACATATGTATATACGAAAGTTTGTACAGGTACATATTCAAATAATGAAATAGTGTATGTGTATAGGTATATATATATATTTATGAATATACACATACACACAAATACACGCATTATACAAACATACGAACACACACACACACATAACACACATATATATAGATAAAGG